AAAACTGACTTCCTACAGAGACCTTATTCATCCTCTCCCTTGTCTAAGAAAGAAACATAATTTCTGCCCATCACCTTTGGTTGTCTTGGGCTCTCTTGAAACGTAGCTCACCACCATCTACACCTTTCCTGGTCTTCAAAGCAATTGCTTTGAATCTGGATTTGGATTTGAATTTGAACATCAGTAGAGTGCAGTCCTAGAAACCTTGAGGGAAGAATGATAGAGTTGTGATCTTCAACTCAAGGGTGAGCTTAGAAAAAGTTTCTGCAGCTGCTGTGTCCTAAATGATGGGGAGATCAGGTGGGAACACATTGTATTTGATAGCTTTCTTGCACATCCTCCTCGTTTTGATTCTTGGATTTTAGATACGTTAGAAGCTGGCTCTTTCTTTGAGGTCAGTTTTGTTTTCCTGTTGTGGTTTACAAGGGCTGCTTGCAATTCTAAAACCTGACAAGGAGGAGGAACACGACCACTTCCAGTTTAAGAAGATATCACTCATCAGCTTCTGAGATTGTCCTATGTAATTTGCTGTAACATTTTAGCCTGGGTTGTATTACTGCAACTGAAATCCTGCGATATTGGGGAAATACACCTGTCGCTTACATTATTAGCTGGAGATGTCAACAACACTCACATCAGTGACCTGGGCCTTGTTTCAAAATTAGAACAGATACCTAGCCAAGCCTTTGGCTATAACTTGATGACCTTAATTGCTCTTTTACGTTCAAGGGAAATAACCCTTTGCATTATGTACTTAAGGAATTAAACAGTGCGCCTTTCCTATGCATGTTACATTAAATTGTAATTTAGCGTTATGAGAAGAAGCCACGGTTTTGGGGGTCGTGCTCCTCACTCCTATGGTAAAGCTGCTGACAGGAAATTGAAAGTTTCTCCTTTCGATTAACCACAGTTTAGTGCAAAGGGGCACAGCTATCAGTGCAAGGATTTGTGTGGGCCTTAAACAACCTTTGCTGTCATTCCAAAATCATCTGCAGAGTTGTCACCAGATTCTAATTTATAATGTGATAGAATTAAATCAATAAATACATATGGACTAATCATATTACCTCTAATTAATCCAGGCTTTGTTAAAAATACATTAAATCAAATTAAAACAGAGTCAGTTTTGTCCAGGCTCTTTGGAGGGTGGTCCCTGGCACACGATCCAAAAATTGAGTGTAGCTCTTGCTTCCAAAAGCTGTGTACCCCAGATTTCCTGGGGTGTCTGATCTCTAGGCTTTGATTAATCTTAATCAGGTGAAAAAGGCCAACTTTCCAAAGTGTGTATTAAGCTATTTTATTTCAGCAAACCATAACTAAGATCTAGCCACTGATTCTTGAGTTTGGTAACATGCCAAACCCACTGGAAAGAAAAGGGGGAGTTACTTTAAATCTCAGCTATCTAAATTAACCTTCAATGTTATATCTGGATTTAGGCTAAGATTGTAATTGTCTGTCCACCCAAAGTAGGCCTTGCTTCCAAAGAAGTATAGTTGGAGTTGGGCTACATAGAAGTTACTGATTTGCTTTGTTTCATATCAGTTCCAAGCTGATAACACATTGATGCAGCGTGAAGCTAAATCAGTTCTGTTTTGTTTTTGAATCTGTTTGTTTAACAGACTCTCTTTGCATCTAAGAATTTGCTTTACCTTTTTCTTAAAGCCAAATAAGGTAAAGAAACAACAGAGGTGGTACAATCAGTTTTCACTACTTATATGTAAAAGGGAATTTTACATGACATGGCTTGAGATGGAAAAAATGTGTTCTGGAAAATCATGTTACTACTTTAAATGAGGAAACGTCATAGGAAATCCAATCTTCAATCTCTAGTGTGAAATCACTGATGTTGACTTGCCTACTATTCACACAGGCTCGGCCCTGGTTATCATAATTTTGTAAATCCATAAAAATACTCTCATGTATTCCAAAGTGCGCATTTGGACATTCTGGGGAGCAAACATCACGTATCTAAAGTGTGTTGCTGATTCAAGAAATAAGCCAGAAACAAGAATATATAAGAAATATATCTTCCAATGGAGATCTTAAATGTACCAATTGACTTAAAACAGATTATATTAAAGCAGATTATCAGATGAATGAACTTTGAGTAGTTTCCATATTGGAATTCTTTAGTTCTGTTGAAGAATTGTGTTCCTGCATTGAATGGAAGTTGAAATATAAATCAATCTTGTATTCTTTAGTGTAAAGTATGAGCCGTTAAGGGTGAAACAGGAAACTGATTTATTCAAAAAGCCATAGTTAAAACCAGCCATGGCTTAGTTGTCATGATTTGTGAATCCAACCAGAATCAAAACCATCGCTTATAGAATACTAAATTAATCAGCAATTCCATTCTCTTGCACAGTGTTTCTCAACCTTAGCAACTTTAAGATGTGTGGACTTCAACTCCCAGAATTCCCTAGGTAGCACTTTTGGGGATGTGCAGACAAGTCATGATTGGAGTATGTCTGTGTTTGGCAGAATGGGATGAAAGCAGCAGGACAGTAGTTCCTTTGGAGGATAGTAGCACTGTAGAGTTTTAGCGAGGTGATTCCAAAGGGTTCATTGTTTAAAAAAAAGTGCCTTAAAATATTCCTCCCTGTATTTTTTAAAGGCAGAGCTAGTGGGGTTGAAGGAGGGACAGTCAAAAGAATACTCTCCTGGTTGTCCAGCAAAAGGCCCACAGAGACATTGTGCAGAACCTAATGTAGGATGTGCCCAACTATATAAAAAAAAACAATAACTGAAAAGTAAGGTCCAAATAGAAATCATCCTCTAACTAAGTAAACTTTTCTGGGAGGATGGAAGAGATTCCCACTTGTTCTAATAGGCTGTTTGCATCATCATCATCATTGTCATCATCATCATCATCATCAATTAAATTTATATGCCGCCCAACTCCCAACAACTCTGGGCAGTTGTGATAAAAATAATTGCCCAATAATGCTCCTTGGCATCACTAAGCCCATCAACCTCCCCAGCTTGGTCTAGTCACAGGAGGAAAACCACGTTTGCCGTTCTGCAAAGCCAGAAGCACTAGGTGGTCCATCCACCCTCCAGTTGTCTTCTCTCAGAAATGATTCAGAAACACGATTCAATCTGATGTCTCAAATTGCCCCTCAGATGCAACCTTCACAGAGCTGTATTCCTTTCAGTCACTGGTGCATCTCTGAATGAAGCACAACGCAAATATTTTGTTTATACCTGAACTGGGTCCTTCTTTTGTTGTTTCTCTGCCAAGCCAAGATTAGGAGCCAGGATTTAAGCCTTTCTCCTGAATCCTGATTTATTTGGGAGAGACTAGCCATGAATACTGGTCCTTTGCAGTTAGACTAGATAGTATATACCTATATATGTATTTTCTCCTTTCTCCTTTTGTCTTCTCGGTCTCTATGCTATTTTTTTCCAGGAATATAAGAGGACACTGCAATTTCATCCTAGTTATTCCTTCGCTTTAATGGATGTGTTCAGACAGTGCTGAGTCATTGTTTTCCTATTTGGAAACCTTACCAAGAACTTTTAATTCCAAGAAGAACAGGAAGTTACAAATATCCTGAACAATGAATAAGATGAAAGGGGTGGATAGCTAAATACTTTTCAGGTTGCACAGCTATCCCGCCTTCTCATTATTCAAACACAGTCTTTTTTTTCTTCTTCTTCTTGCTGCTTAAAGCTTTCCTTCTTTTCAACAGTACAGCCAATTCTGAAACTATTCCTGCATTAATCTCTATACCACGTTTTGCAGAAATGTTTTAGCAACAGGATCTTTTTCCTATATGACAGAAATTTGGCTTTGGCAAGCCAAGGAGATCAGATTTTTGTCTATATTTTAAGGGAGATTTTAACATTAATTAATGACAAAAATGTCATTACCCAATAGAGAAGATGAGTTTTGTCATTAACAAAACTGTGAGGCATTATCAAAATAAAGCATACAGATAGTCCCCAGTTTAAGAATGAGTTCCATTCCCAAGGTCTATCCTTAAATCGAATTTGTAGGTATTATTGTATAATACTGTATAAGTAGTATTGTGTAATAAACTCGAACCATTGTATATTTAACTCAAATCATTGTGTATTTAACTTGAATTTTGCTACAGTAGGCTCCGTTCATAACTATGGGTCATCCATAAACCGGGTGTTCATAACCCGAGGACTCCCTGTACTTTTTTTTTAAGTCACTTTTGCAGAGTGCATTTCTATTTGTACCCTAAGTAAATTCTATTTATTGCCTCCATTTGTACAACTGTACAAATTAAACTGTACCATTTAAACTCCTTGGGCCCCTTCGTCATTGAAGAAATGCAATAAGAGGACTTTGTCACTCCAGTCATGAAGATTTGGGAAGTTGGTGGAGACCAAGGGACATGCTGGCGCCTGCTGGTACTGCCATGCGGACCCCTCCTTTAACAACTTAGAAGGTCATTTTGCTTGTAATGCTTGCTTGCTATGAAAAACAAACTGAGAAACTTAGAAAAGAAGAGAACATATTGTGGATGTTCTTTTCATTATGTCAAACATCTCCAGCTTGTCCTTATGAGTGGTATAATTTTAAGACCATTACCTATTTCTCAATATGTACTCAAGTCTACTTTCCCAAATATTTGTCCCCAAATGCATAAATATTTGCTCAGAAGTGTGCCCAATTTAGTATTATAATCCCTACTAAAATGGTTAGCAAGAAGCTCATCCCAATTCTAGGCCATTTTACTTAGAAGGAAAATTCTCCTGTGCATTTAATCCTGTCTTAAGTATGTTCAGGACCGTCCCCTCTGCTCACTTAGCAGGAGAAAACCTCTTTGAGTAAAACAGGACTTGCTGTTGAGTCAAGAAATTCAGGCAGGCCTCAGGGCAGAAGTAAATATGATATGTATTATGAGGAAGCAGATGTCTTTCTATTTACTATGCAGATATGCTGGCCTGTTCTTATGTGTAATCAGGGCAATTATGCAATGTTTATTGTAGTTGTTTGTCCCCAACGTTTGCCACTGTTTGAAGATAATTTCTTGATAATAGCAACCTTTGCGTGATAATAATCTCAGGCTTCACACAAAAGTGTATGTGGCATCTCTTAATGGATTAGCTCATGCGAGAGTAAGGGAGTGGGGAACCAACCCAGTCTGATCTCCTCCTGTTCTGAACACAACTGGATTTGCAGAAATCAGATCAAAATTCTGTGGAGATGAAGCATCGTTCTCCTGTTGATTTCATGGCAGCTCTGCTTCGTGTGTTGGGCTGTGTTTTGCTTGGTTTTAATTTCCCATGAGTGTGAATAGAACAGCATCCTTGACTTAATCAACTAATTTTTGCAGCTTTCAAAAACAAGCATAAAAGCTCCGGGCCAAAGAGAGCTGTATTCCACCATCGCTTGTTGGGTTGTGCATCGTAAATATGGTTCTTGCTCTTATTTTTCCAAATTCTGTGCGATGGTTGTAATATTCTGTGTTGTTTTGGGGTAAGGTGCTTCTGCTTGTCATCAGGAAGGCACAAAGTGCTAGGGAGGGCACTGAAACTGTATTTTTCTGATCACTACTAAACCTTTGCCCATACCATTTCAAGGCTCTCTGCTCATAAATATAGAAACTTGATGCTTTGCGCATACAAAAATTCTGAAGAAGTCATGTTTGGATTCATGGTGTTTTAGGCAAAGCCCTGAGTGTAGTTGTGTTAACTGCATGGTCTTTGCTTTATTACATATGTGGACATCCAACATGCCTGTCAAGCTGTATAACTCTCAAGCTTTGGTAGCAGATGACTCACTTCCCTAATTTTTATTACCTAAATGCAAAGGCTATGGTACAACACTTCCTCAAATTGAGTCAGTGCTTTGGTGTATCTATTTTGAGCACTCTGATTGGATCATCATCTGGTCCAACCCTCTGCAACCTGCAGGAAAACCACTTCAACCATCCTTAAGAGGTGGCTCTCTAATTTCTTCTGAAACACCTTCAGAGATGGAGAACACACAATCTCTGTAGGTCAAGGCTGCCACTATTGTACAAATCTTAACTATCTGGAATTTTTTCCTTGCATTTAATCAAAGACTAGAAAGCTGCAACTTATTATTTCTGATCCTTGGTGTTGTGGCAGTGAACTCTATAGTTCTGTGGTTCCTGGCCATCTTCTCCACGGCACCCCTTTATGTATCTGAACATTGATATCATGTCTTCCTTCCATTGTCTTCTTCAGACCAAACATCTCAAGTTCCTTCACCTGTCCTCATGAGGATTTATAATAACCTCATTTGGGGGTATTTTTACCTACTAAAGAATATATTCTCTAGACAACATAGCCTTAAGCTTTAAAATCATAGCATTTTTTTCCTTTTCTCTTAGAGCTCCACCCATAATTGGCTATTTACCTTTCGAGGTTCTTGGGACGTCAGGTTATGACTACTACCACGCTGATGACTTAGAGCTTCTTGCTAGGTGCCATGAACACCGTAAGTGTTTTTGTTTCTTGTTCACAAGAGTTGTCTGGGGTATGCTAACACATAATAGTAAGTGAGGGTTTATCTTAACCATGATTTTGTGGTACAAACTAGAGTCTCCTTGCAGATGAGTAAATAATAATTTGTGTAGCCAGTGCCCAATTTGTTTTCTCCGTTTCTTCTGTCACTATTCTCCCCCCCCCAAACAAGTGGAAAGGAAAAAGAAACAAGAGTAAGCCATGATTCTCTTTGACTTGGACTTAGTTGCTCATGAAGTCAAAGCCTAGATGTAATTGATATACATGGTAATATTCCTGTAGAAGACTTCTGCTGTAAGGTAGAAGAAACAAAAATTACAGCTCCTTGCTATAAACTAGCCCTAATTCTTAACAGTATCTGGTCTGTATAACCTACCAAAGAACATGCTAGATGTTCCCAGATGAAGATTAACCAGATTAAGAAGTATCTAAATCACTGCCAATATCTTTTTTTTTTTAAATTTCTCTCCTAACTGTCTTTATCCCATCTTCCTGTCCAATACACAGTGATCAGGCTGCCCTCTTGATCATCTGCTCCTGGAGTCACTGTCCTTAGTGGCATTTCTCCCGTGCCTCTAACGGCCCTTGAATACCCAACCACAGAACAGGTCAAAGCCAGGAAGAAGAACACAAACCAGTGGGCCAAGCAGGGGTTAACAGAGGGATTGTTGTCGTTGTTGTTGTTAATGCACAGTGATGCAGTTTGGGAAAGGCAAGTCCTGCTACTACAGATTCTTGACCAAAGGCCAGCAGTGGATATGGCTACAGACCCATTACTACATCACCTACCATCAGTGGAACTCCAAACCCGAGTTCATTGTGTGCAGTCACACGGTTGTTAGGTAAGAACGCAAACTATTTGTCTGCCCCTTCAAAGCATGCGCTCAGATGTGTGTATTAGCTTGCTGGAGTGCTCAGTTGTATAAAACGATTATAGTCAGGATTGGGCGGTGGGGGAAGGAAAACAGCACTGCATTTTTCCATTGGGGGCAACTGAGGCAGAAGGCTGCAAGCAGTGTTAACTGCCTGTATTGCCATATTCCTTTTTTTAAATACTCTCCCTAGGGATTTCTGGGAAAAGCAAAGAGAATTGGAAGCTATGTCCCATTACTGACATTTTAAACCAGGATTGGGTGAGCTTGGTGCAGCCCACCCCCCATTCATTTTTAGGATGCTCAGAAGCTCCTTGGGAATGTGCTACTGGTAGCAAAGTAGAAATGCTTTCCTATTTTCCTTTATTTTTCTCCCAAATTAAAGTCTCAAATAAGTTCATTATACCTTTGGAAGACTGTTTTATCTCTTTATCCTGGAAACTACGGTTAGGGTTAGGGAGCTCATCACTCCTAACCCTTAAATATGCTGTTCCCTGCACCCCCCAAAAAGTATAGTTCTTAAATTGTGCTTAAGAACATGATATAAGTTGCCTGTTAGCTGCCCAGAGTCATGTATTTGACGTGGGCGGCTATATAAATTTAAATAAATAAATAAATAAACAGTCTTTTCTTGAGAAGGTATTTAGGCCCCTGCTTTTTATTCTTTTAGTTTGTGGTCCTCTCAATAAAATTTTTGGTGGTCTGTCTGTCTGTCTGTCTGTCTTTTCCTAAGAAAGATAAGTAGATGATAGATAGATATAGATAGATAAATAGATAGATGATAGATACATACATAGATACTTTCAGAGGATCTAAATCATATATTTTCTAGCTTTTCATAATTCTTCCAGATTTTTATTTTTACTCTGATGTATGCTCTGTGCTTTTAATGACTGTACCCCACCCCCCTTAACTGGTCTATGACCATCATAAAGATTTGATTGATTGGTGCCTTATTTTGCATCGATTGCTCTTTCATCCTTACCATCTCTTTCTAGCTATGCTGAGGTTCGAGCTGAAAGGAGAAGGGACCTTGGCCTTGAAGAATCATCTATTGAACTGGTGTCTTCATCCTTGAAGGTATTGTCTTCCGGGAAAATCCAGTAAGAGGTTTTTAGCTATTCAAAGTGTTTGTGGAAACGGGAAACCAATGTTTTAGAGGAAGAGGGGAAGACGAGATTTTCTTTCTGGTTTCTTTGTAGCAGTTTAAACTTCACATCTATCAGCGTTGAGGCTTCTGAAATGCACAGAAGAGACGTTTCTTATCATGCCTACCTCTGTCAGCTTCTTTTCTGATGCAGTGGAACAGGTGGTTGCCCTGGATTTGTCCTGCCAGATCTGTTTTTATCACCTTGCAGAGTTACAATACCAATCATCCACAGCCAGCATTGTCAATGGGAATTGCAATCAACCAGCACTTGAGGTCTCCTGGTTGGAAAAAGTGACCTTATATTGGATGAGCAAAGGTCTGCTTAGCACTTTACAATGACGACAGACCTCCAGATGTTGGATGACTTAGTGGGAAGGATGCAGGAAATGAGCAATGTCTTTCTCTTTAGCATCCTTCAGATGCCAAGTTCTAGAGTTTGAGCCAAGACAAGAGCCTCAGCATTCTACAGCTTGCCACTTTCCAGATGTGCTGGGCTGTTGAACTCTCCTACCTACGAAGCATTTTTCCTGTTGCTGAGTTGCAGGTCCATCGCTTTGGGGCTGATTCACCAACTGCCATGAAGCAAAGACGGAAAATAAAGGAACGTTTTATTGATCCCCCCCGAAACAGGGCTAGGCTCTGAACGCAGCAGATCGGGTCCATAATCACATTTTCCATCCTCTTTTAAAATAATCAATTTGGCATTGTTGTGCCTGCTCAATTAACTGGGTCAACTTAGTTAATGCCAGCGTGGTAATAACAAGAGGCTGACGTCACTCAAAGGGCGCTTTTTTGAATTGATCTGTAAACCTTGAGTGTGAAATCCAAGCGTACTATTTCCCCTGCTCTTGTGGAGGAAGTTTAAAGGAAGCCATTGCATGATAGGCAAGTTTTCTGAAGCAAGGATTTTTTTGCAACTCATTGAAGCCTTGGTAGTTCATTGCAGGTTGGATTATTTCTGGCAACCAGAAGGTTCCAGAAAGTTTGTTTGTTTATGTTTATTTATTTATGAGGTCTGTAGGGCACCCCAGTCTGTTACCACTTTGGATATAAATGCCATTTTTAGATCATCGCCCACAGTGCTTTGGTCAATGAAGTTGATTCATCTATTCAGTTGCAGATGAGTGTGAGTCAACTGTTGAGTATTGCTCGTGTGTATAATCCTAGAAGAATCCAAAGGGGGTCTCTTTTGGGGAAACCAAAAGTATCCACCAGTACATGCACAATGGGAGGAACTGTGTTGAATATTGTTTATTCTCTCTTACCTTCCACACATTTTCCTTAAATTTTATTTATTTATTTGTTTATGTTTCCAATTTGGTCACTGCCCATCTCACTAGAAAGTGACTCTGGGCGGTTTACAGTAAAAACGAAAAATCTTAATTAAAATAGAATATAAATACAATAAAAACCATATTCCTACATAAATAATAATATCTTCCAAGGTGCTGCTGGTAGAAAGGATATTAATAAACAGGAGCATCTTTAAGGTGCTAGCCACCCCCAGGTAAATATGTTCTTCTGTGTAGTTATCATTTAATATTTTGGATTTTGGAGGAATGGCATTTTTTCTTCCTTAGGATGGTACAAACTGAGAAGAGCTTGCCAGACAGATGTGAGTGGATTTGTTTCTGTGTCTGCTCTTAACTAGAAAGTAGCTTCCATGTCAGTATGACCCCCATTGTCATTTAGCTGTTACATTTGTTAAGAGGAAAATAGAGCTCTTAAACTGACCTATTTCTCTTTCTCCTCCACTTCTCCCCCTCTGTGTGGTGGCTATGGGGACCCATCTCTCATTTGGTCAGATTTATTTATGTACTCTGTGTTTATTATTGAAAAACTGTGGGCTATGAGGTGTCAAGAGAAATTGAGCAGAGAAGGCCAAATTATAAAAATATGCTTCTATTTCGGTGTATGAATCCGTTGCCTGTCTGCAGAGGTGATGGGTGAACCAGATACGTTATGTATTTTTGTTACTTGGAGGCTGACAAATGCCTCCCCTTGCCTCTTCATCTGTCTTTTGTAATAATGGAGCAACTGTACGGCATCTTTCTATTTCAGTTCTGGTCACTAAAGTTCTGATCTTGCAAATCAAATGGGGAAACCACTGTTTGGCTGGGAGTGTTGTTGTTCTTTACCTGTGGGATTACCCATCACTTTCATAACATGCACCAGTCCTTCTCCACCTGGGTCTAGATTCACGGGCCATGCTGGCTGCTGGATTTTGTGGGAATTGTGGTCAAACACAGCTGAAGGTTGCAAGGTTTGGGAAGGAAGATCCAGGTAGATCCTAGTGGAATCATCAAAGAAAAGACTACAGATGGTTTAGTTGAGAGGAAAATAATTTATCACCAGCAGAAAAGCCAAATTTGATCCACAGAAAGCTCTGCAAGGTGGCTTAAATTGGAAAACCATCATACAGGATTCCGAGGACCTCTGTCCCTTGGAAGTCACCCCTTGGAAGAAAAATGCTTCTACTGCTGCTGTGGGTTTATTTTTTGAACGTTCCAGTCAGTTTTCTTTTCCTAAGAATATGACGTCAACTTTGTTCCTTTCCAGAGTCAAGGGAGTTACCTCAATGCCCGTCAATGCGTGACCACCAACCAAGAAATCAGTCGTGAAGGGGTATCTGTGTCTTCTCACAGCTCCCGCCGATCTTCTCACACAGCGCTCTCCGACTCTGCATGTAGGGGTCACATCCGACTTGCAGCTGTTGTGCAACCAAGGAAGAGTTTAATGTAGTTGATGAACATTCAGGAATAGTGTCAGAGATCTTTGGCTCTCTGGCTTTCTAATCTCCATCCCTTGATAATCTTACAACAAGAAACCTTCCCAATTTGTTATTCTGTAGATGTCCTATTCCAGTAGGATACTGGGCAAGGAACTCATTGGTTGAATCCAGACGTGCTAGATTGTTGCACCCCCCTTTCCTCGTATAGCAAAAAAACATAATCTTACAATCATGTGCAGT